TAGATAGATAGATAGATAGATAGATAGATAGATAGATAGCGGCAATTGATTGATGGATGGATGGATGGATGGATGGATGGATGGATGGATGGATGGATGGTTGGATGGATGGATGGATGGATGGATGGATGGATAGATAGATAGATAGATAGATAGATAGATAGATAGGCCTTCTAACAAGGGCACTTGTAAGATCGGCGTACCTGATTCTGTGCAATGTTAGAGTTGCCAACTGATCAAAAATATAACCATCTGGTACGTTCTTCTGACAACCAGCAATGTCCAATTCTGCAAACAACTGGTTGCAGATTTCAGCATACCAAGCCTCTGGCTGTTCCAAGTAGAATTGGAGGCTATTGCTGAAGCACTGTTGTCCTCCCTGGCTGTAACCTAGACCTTTCTTTGTAGAAAGTCTGTGATCGAAGGTCTTGGAAGTGCCAGTGGGAACCGTCTTCTCTATAGCGTTCCCAACAGGGCCCCAACTTTTGAAAAATGGCAAGGGCTCAAATGAATTTATTTTAGGCCGGTGTTCCTCAGCGCTGATTCTAAATACTTGTATTCAACCTGGAACGTGTGGAAATACATTTGCATTTTTACTTCATGGGTGTAATTTTGAAAACCTTGTTACCTTTGATGATGACAGGACAAGGAATGATCTTTTATGAGGACCTGAATTCTAATAAAATGACAGATAAAGCCAAAATTGCAGGAAAAGCAAAGGAAAATAAAAATGGTGGATTACCCTCATTCCCACCCCGCCCCTCAGACTGGACTAGCACCTTAAATATGGCATCTAGAGAAATGCAAACAGGTCACCGTGGACTTGATTGGGGCTGTAACCTTGATGCACGATCAAGCAGCACGATCAAGAAGAGGCTCGGCTCTTTAACTGCCTTTATTTTCCCTATTTTTGTCTCCCTTGAATATAAAAAAGCAAGTAACAGCTTTCAGGTTTATTTTATTTGCAAGTTGGGGATGCTAAACTGTGGAGCCATAAATACAGTGTCAAGTTCAGGAGAGCTGGTAGGTGAGTCAGCCAAGTTAAGATCACTGAGGACAATTTTGTAAAGGTTCATCAGGTTCCCCTGTTGACTTCCACAACTGAACTGAACCTACCCTTTTTCCTCTCCTTCCTCACGGCCCGTCTCTCTAGCCAAACTCCGATTTAAACCTTTTGCTTCCCAGAAAATGAGTAAGATGCTGCCACCGTTAAGGAGTAGGAAAGTTGAAGAAGGGAAAAAGAAAAGCAACTCCATTGGATCAGGTTCAGAAACAGGGACTAATTCAGAGCAGTTTTTAGGGAATAGAGATATATTTCCAGACACGACATCCTGGTGAGTTGCAAACAATCCCCCCTACCAAATATGGCCTTCGTTTCGAGTTGGGCAAGGCTACGCTCATTGGTTCATGAACTCAGGTGAACACAGGTGAGTTCATGTCCTTCTTCCCCATTTTAAGATGCACCCATGGCACTCAGGAAGATGGATCTTCATCTGGATCCATTCACCTGTTTGCTCTTCCTGAGTGGACCGGGCAGGACCTTTGGACATGGATCACTACTGAAAACAGCAGGGTAGCCCTAAGACATTTTGAGACCTTAGCCAAGATGGTGGCCTGTCCTCCTCCTGTCCCACCAGGTTTCATTTCATGAGTAACGTCCTCCATCATGCCTAACGGGGTGGGATACATATAGCCCTGTCCTCCAACTGGTCAGCAGGATTTGCTGCCTGGACCACATCTCTCATTGCATCTAGTGATCCAGCTGGCCTTGAAGATACAAAATAGGACGACACTGATTATCTGACTTTAACTGCATTATCAGGATGTTGGAACACAGAGATCTTGGGTCAAGGCTCTGGCAAGAACATCTCCTATGTCCCCAAACATTTCAAATGTCAGGACTAAGCACTGGTTGTCCATTCTACCTCCAAGGTTCAGAGATCAGCTATGTCCCACAGCTTCCTAGATAGTTTTGTGTGAAATCCAACCTGCTGGGTTGTTCTCCAACATGGCCTTCTGCCACCAAGTGGTTAGAGATGATGTGTGATGAGGTGGGGAAGATAGGCTTGGGGTAGTAGCCATGATGTTCCTATGTCCCCCTCCCTAAAAGAAAATTTGCCAAAAGCTTCTCATTAAACAACGCTCAACCAAGGAAGTAGGTGTTCACGCAGGAGTGAAAAGGCCAAACACACTATTTGCACACTGTATCAATCACACCATGCCATATGCCATCATCACCATCATCATCTCACTCAGCACTTAGCTGGAAAAATTCTCTGCATCCGTTGGGGAATATTACACAGACTTTTCAAGACAATGCTGGTTACTTCCCTAAAAGGGAAGGTGGTGTTGGTAGTTCGTGAATCAAAAAGCTTTGTTGACAGAATGGTGCAAATCTGATTTTCTCCAGGAGGGTGTCCAGTTCCTAAAACCAGACATTGTTTGCTGTCCAGAACAAAGAACAAAGGGAGCCCTTCTTGGAAAATTTGAATCAGTTCAGATGTGGGAGGTTATTTTCTGCCCACTGAAAATACAGTTCTGATCCCCATGTTAAGGAGATGGAATTAAAGGAAGGATGTGAAGGGATTTTTCCTCGTTTGACTGCACACGGCCAAGGATGGGCGGCTTGTTCATCAACGGGCAACAGAGCAGCCAAGTGAGACGAGGTGAACATCAGAACAGGAGAGTTTTATTTTGCTTTCGCTGGTGATCGCTCCAAATCCTGTGCAAATTCCTTTGTGCAGGATTCTTTGCCCATGGAAGCCTTGGCAAAATGAAGAGGAAGGAAGAGGAGGAAGGAGGGAAAGGGGGATGATGGTGGTGGTGGAGGAGGAAAAGGAGAAGGGATGATGATGGTGGTGGTGCTGGTGGAAGAAATGAAGAAGGAAAAGGGAGAAGGAAAAAGAGAAGAAGGGATGAAGATGATGGAGGAGAAGGAAAAGAGAGAAGATTGGATGATGGTGGTAGTGGTGGTGGTGATGAAGAAGGAGATAGGGGATTTGTGAAGCAAGGAAACCTCAGATTTTCCAGATTTGGCCACTGCGTAGGAGGAGAAAATCAAAGCAGGAATGGGCTTCCTATTATTTCTTTTCATGCCAGAAACCCTGAACTCTCCCACATGGGAAAGGCAACACTTTTGGGAAGCAAACAGCTTTGGGCGCCTGATTTCAAGGAGCAGAGAATGGGGGAATCCTGGAAATTTCTCCAGCACATACCTTGAGGGAAGCGGAGGAAGGATAAAAATGCTGGCAGTGCAGCCTGGGAGTGGTAGTCCAACATATCTGAAAGGTGTGCTGGAATAGAATATTCGGGGGGATTCTGCCTCTTATTTTCATGGGGGGGGGCTAAATTTATGTTTGGCCATCACCTCTGGGGCCCAAAGATCCAAACCATCTTGGTTTAATCCTGCCCATGGTGGGCTTGATGTAAGTCCAGCGATCACCTAACCACCTCCATTCTGACCCTGGGCTGATGCCTTCACAGAGTAGAGATCTGTTTGTGTCTTTCCTATCCATTTTTTTTTTTTTAATAATTCCTTGCCAAAAAAACCCAAAAACCAACCCAAACCAAATGACAAACAGCCAAAAGGGGGGGGGGGAGAAGTCCACGTGCCATTGAAACATGCACATCAAAACAAAAACAGAACAGTTCTAGATTCCCGTATGTACAGGCGGCTGTGTTTTTCTACATATTTACTGCGTTACAAGCTAGTACCATCACTAAGTTAGACGTTTCCCATTCCATGGTGGAAATCAGGAAGTTGGGGTGGGGTGGGGAGGTCAGAGACGATGCCAGAGTCCCGGATTGAAGAAGGAAGCGATCCAAGTTTATGGAAGAGATTGAGAGAAGAACGGTCAGAAAAGCCATCCTCCAACTTCTGTTGTCCCTGTTCATAAGGGCTTTAGATCAACGACTTCATCCGATGGTGCTGTGTAAACACAAACTCTGCCAAGGAAGGTGGAGAACCAGGGCTTATCTCCACCCCACCCAGCCTCCCTGGCTCTACCTTTTCCAGGTTCTCTCATAGAGTGGAAGTATCTGAGATGGTTCTCCATGGAGTAGTCATCAGGAAACGCCCTTGACCAAACCCATCCTGGCTGGTTACACCTTGGCACGACACGAGAGATCTTGCTTTGCGTCCCTCTGAAGAGTGTGCAAAAATGTACGCTGGATGGGTCCCTCTCTCTCTCCCACCCCGCGCGCAAGTAAAACTTGGCGTTGGACAAAACAGAAAGTCACCAGTTCGGTTTCTTTTCCTTCCTTCTCTTTCCAAACTGGGAGGCTGATGTACGATGGCCCGACAGCTGTGGAAAAAGATCGGAGGGGAGGACATGGAGACTCTCCCACCACCAGCTCAGGAGGTGATGGAGATCTGGTCAGCGTGCCAAGGCTTAGGATTCTGCCCTCTGTGTAAGTTCCCAAATGGATGCTCACGGCCTCGCTGCTCCCCCCTTCTAAGTCTTCTCCTCCCGGTCTGTTTTTCGCCGCGTGATGTTTCGGGGTTTGATTTTGAGCGATAGTTCCCACAACGCCTCCTCGGCTAGGTGGTCGCTGAAGTCGTTGAAGAACGAAATGATGTCGTCGTTACGTCTGATGTCGTAATGGCTGCAAAGATCAGAGAGGAAGAAACTGCTTAAGACCGGAACGGATCAAGTTGCGTTTCCCTGGGGTTATAAAATGAGCGCAGGGTAAGCCCCACACGTTGGGGAAAGTGTAAAGAATTTGGACTTGTCTTCTTTTAACACAAATTTAACTCAGGCGATTAAGTTCAGGAGGAATAATCTGTTTGTAACTGCAGTAAAGAAGGCAGAAATGCCTTTTTCCTTTCTTTAACTACATTCTCTTCTGCACTTTTCTCTTTTTCTTTCTTTTCTTTATATATTTCTGCAGTTGTCTCTTGGCTATGTAAAAAGTTTTAACAAACATTAATAAAAAAAAAAAACCTCCGACAATTACTGTTATGACGATGCATTATGCCAAGTTTTTATTCCCTTTGTTTATTCCTACATTTTGGCCACTGTTTTGTACTAGCACTTTTTAACGTTTTCTTCTTCTTCTTGGCCGTGTGTTATTATTTTTGTGTATTGTTTTTTTTCTTATTAATTAAAAAGCGATAAAAAATTATAAACTAAAAAAAAAACCTCAGACAATTATATTAGACACTAAGTTGGCCTCACTAAATGCTTGTGATACCCCAAACGACACTTTTAAAACAAAAAGAATTGATAGCTTCCTTATTGACTGCAGCTAGATGGGAAAGCTAAGATCCTGGGAAACCAGAAATGATTTGAATATCTCCAAAAGTTGGCAAACATGCTGGAAAATAATGGGAAAATTTATCTCACTTTCACAATGATCCAGAAGATTATTTTTACTTTACTTGCTTTAAGCATTCTTTATGTGCATCAAAAGGTATAATGATTGTCTACCGCCCACTTCCAGGTTCCTAAATAAACTTAATTTTTTAAATATTCTATTTTTTCTTTAAGATTAAAGATTAGTTTGTTACCAAAAAAATTATTAAATACAATTTAAAAAGGGGAAAAATGGCTGTCTATGTGTTCCTCTCAGTTCTAAGATTCTTACAGTGCAGGAGGCAATAGGCCACGTACATCCAGAATGTCAAGCATGGCTTGTAAAACCGCATCTCTCCTGGTCATTCTGAATCCAACCCCCAGCATCCTGAACCACTGACCGCATGAGCAGGGGTGCTGGGGGTCATCATTCAGCCCATGTAATGGTATGTGAGAAAGACCTTGGGAGACTGGGCAAAGAGACATTGCCTGGGAAACGGTTAGATAAGAGACAGCATAGCCCTCAGCTGGATAGTGGGTGGAGCAAGAGGCTCAGAAGGGACCCTCCCTAATTTCTCAGGGTATAAAGGAGATGGGGGGAGAATTGTCCTTTCAGATTTGCAAGATTCTGTCAATGTAGCTTTAAAACAAAGTAGAATTAGCTCATTTGGTTGTGTTTCCTGTCTGGTTTGCCCAGCAAGGCCGATATCAACCAAAAGAGAAGGGGGGAGAATTGTACTCTAAGATTTGCAAGACTGATGTTGGCTTTGCCGGGTAAACCAGACAGGAAACACAACCAGATGAGCTAATTCTACTTTACTGTAAAGCTACATTGACAGAACCTTGTAAGTCTGAAAGGACATTTCTCCTCCCTGTCCCCTTTACAGCCTGAGAAACTAGGGAGGGTCTCTTCTGAGCCTTTTGCCTCACTTACTATGCAGCTGTGGGCTATGCTCCCTCTTATCTGACCATTCCCTTGGCAGTGTCTCTGGGTCCAGTGTCCCAAGGTCTTTCCCATATATCATTACAACCCAATTGTGAGAGACACAGCTTCCTTATTTCCTGGCTCTATGATTGATGAGTTGCTTGCCCTCTCCTGAAGCATGGTCCCAGTTCTCAGCATTCAGCCCAGTTCCCCAAAACATGGGCTTGGGGACCACAAAGCCATGGGAGGAGCAGAGGTGCCTTACACTTGCTGGAAGCGTCTCATGTTGTCCAGGATGTTGAACTGTTGCCATCGCTTGGAAAAGTTGACTTTGCCATCAATATAGTCTGGGTTTCCCAGGTGCACAAAGGTCAGGTCTTGTAGGATCAGGCCTCTGGAGCAGGAGAGAGGAGAAAGGGAAGAGCTTCCAGTTATGGCTTAGAAGAGCAACTCGTCTGGAAGGCAAAAGGGCTGCATTGGGGCTACAAGCTTTGGATGGAGAACTTTCTGGTTCTGCAAAAGCTGGTAAATCATAAACTAAGGAAGTGGGTTGGTCTGCACCTCTTAAGCCCACAGAGAAATACGTCATGCCAAATTACAGGTCATCCTCATTTAACAACCACAACTGGGACCGGCGACCTGGTCATTAAGCAAAACAGTTGCTAAATGAAACATCATGATTTTACAATCTTACTTCGGCTATGCTTTACAGAGCTGCAAAGGTCGTAAATGCAAGGATTGGTCATAAAGTTACTTTTCCATCACTGTCATAACAGCGAACAGTCGCTAAACAAGGATGACCTGTAATACTAACTAAGCTTAGCACTGCTGCATACAATGCGATGACTAGATCTTTCAGGGTCTGGTCGAACAAATTGTGAAAATGCAACTTTGGGGTTGTTATATGGCTGGAGAATAGAATCCATGATTCTCTCCCCCCCACCCCCCACCCTGATTCATTTGGAATATCTGCAAGTGTCAAATACTTCTCTCTGCTGAACAGGCAGGGATGGTGAGAAAAAATCCATCTGAACAGGGTTTTTTTTTAAAAAAAGAGGAAATGATAAGGCAAGGTCAAAAGAAATAGTTACGTTCAACCTGGAGAAGAGAAAAAACAAAGAGCACACAAGTATTCTAAAGATGCTTGGGGCCAATTACTTAGAAGAAAGCAAAGCATTCCTTGCTGCTGGACAGGATGAGACTAAAGCAAAGGAGGAGGAGGAGGAGAACTTTTGGATGAACCTGAGGACTAATTTCTTGAGGACCATTCAGCCCTTAGCAGGACCAACTGCTAAGCATGCTTTAGCTCAGGTTGAACAGATGGCTTTTGTGATGTTCTTCAAAGATATGAATAATGGCAGGGGCTGTGAAGCTACTCACAAGTAAGGAATACAAGGTGGTTCCACCTCAGAAAGAGCAGCTCGGTAAGCCCGGAAGGAGGATGAACTGTCAATCAGGGTACAATACTCAGCCAAGCCCTAGAAAATGAAGAAGAAAAGTAGTCTGTAACCTTAACTCTCAAGGATGAAATTCTATTCACAAATCCATTCCAGCTTCAGAATAGCAACACAGAGCTGAAGGAGACTGACCTTTCTCAAGGCAGTTCTGATTTCGGGGGTTGCTACTTTCATGGTTTGCATTGAGAATACAACGAGAGCTGGGCTGGCATTAAAAATGGCAGCTTCCCCCCTTCCCACCCTCTCCCGTTACACACAGAAAATAACAACACATATACAAAGCAAAACGGTGCTCTACAAGTTTCAATCGTCTAAATGTTCTGGATTAAGAGCCCATCGTAGCTCTGGATGATTTAAAGCGGATGTTGAAAAAAGAAACTCAAAATGAAAGCAAAAAAAAAAAGGAGCCAAAGTTTCTACCGTAGAGAAAACAACTCAAGAAAATTTCCCAAGAAGACTCCACGGCCCCTGACAAGCCACAAACACTCATGCTGATAATCCTACACATTTCTGATCAAAAGGGAAGGACAAGCCCAAACTGTATGAGCACATTATTAAGGTCTGAATTGCATTTCCAACAGCCAAGGGCTGATTTTTATGAACCTCCAATTCTTGTTACTTTGGTCATCTCAACCTTGGAGCTGGTAAGGTGTGATGGGCTAGCTTGGAAGAACTTTCTGAGATAGCACCAAACTCTTTCTTTCTTATTTATTCATTCATTCATTCATTCATTCATTCATTCATTCATTCATTCATTCATTCATTCATACATACGTATACAGGTAGGAGAAATATGCCTACAAAATAAGAAAGTAAAACCAACCAACCTCAGAGGTCTGTTTCTGCCATTCGAGGCGCCGAATGGGGGCCGAATCCAGTGCAGAGAGGATGGCCAAGTAGGAGTTGAAGTTGTTGAGTTTCCGTAAGTGCTGCAGCAAAAGGAAGAGTCATGGCAACTGCGTTCTGTGACTTATCTTTGCAACCTGTGAAGCCTCCCTGGCAGCCCTTGTTTTCCCATCTAAAATAGCCCCCTTGAAGGAGCTCCCTCCTGAGGTCCCTCCTTGGGATTGAAGGGAAGGGGACCAGGGAGAGAATTGTCCTTTCAGACTTGCAAGATTGATGTCAGCCTTACTAGGTAGACCAGACAGGAAACCCAACCAGATATGCTAATTCTACTTTATTGTAAGGCTACATTAACAGAATCTCACAAGTCTGAAAGTACATCTCTCTCCCCGTCTCCTTTACAGCCTGAGAAACTAGGGAGGGTCCCTTCTGAGCCTCTTGCCCTACCCGCTATCCAACTGAGGGCTATGCTCCCTCTTATCTGACTGTTCCCTTGGCAGTGTCTCTTGGTCCAGGCTCCCAAGGACTTTCCCACATACCATTATAAGTTCCTTGGGCTGGGCCTCTACCTCCGTGCCCCTCCCCAGGGCATCCCTAGTTGGATCTTTACCT